TAGCCTTTTATTGCTTCATCCCTTCTGATTGGGAAATGTCTCTTTTTCTCACCCCAGCAATAAATCTCACATGTGTGCAACGACTCACAGACGTGGTTAAGGTGGTGGTGTTAGTTCATGCTGTCATGAGATCAATACTCCTGCCATGAAGCGAACCGGGCGGCAGGTTGAGAATTCACTTTAGATTTCCAGTCTCTAATTTCCTGTACGCGAGCTGGTGGACATGCAGCTGGAGCCGGTGTTTCTGAACCCTGGGCATGAGGCGCCGGCTCCAGCCTCTTTCAACTCACTGTGAAAGCACCCCTGGCTCTGTTAGTATGCCAGCCTGATCGCCAGTGGAGCGAGTCAGCCACATCCTCCAGCTGGGTCCGTGCCACCAACGGGCACCTGGACCCGCTCGCACAACCTCATGAAACGGAATGCGTATTTAACCCAGGGGAATGCGTTTGTGCTGCTTATTTCAGCAGCGAGTGCGTATATCTGGAGGAAACCCCTGCTGCACTTTTATTTTGCTCATCTTTGAGACTTTTACCCACCTATAGGATGCAACGGGGCCTTTTCAACCAGCAGATTCACACATCGGGCTGCGCCTCAGCCACTGGACTGTTTCCAGAGTCACACAGCCCTGAAAGACAGCCATCGTTATCCAACTCTCACAAGGTGTCATTGTAGGGATCCAATGATTACCATATCAGCTCCACATGAAACATTTATGGCTTGCTGGCAGTGATGGTCTGGCAGGCATCCTAATTTCTAGTACAGAGCTTGTCAGATCCTATTGTCGCTATAGTTGTGGTGGCATGAGCATAAAAATCATCAGCCCTGAAGCTTCTGTCACTTGAGGCCACAATGAGAAATGTGTGATACAGGTTTCTAAACCACACCTGACACATCACTAGAGCAGAAATCCACAATATGTAACGCAGTCTTTGCAATATGGCAGCCTATTAAAACTTCTCCAGCTACTTTACTGTCCTGCTGCTGAACGGATGCTGAACCAACTTTGTTGTTACTCCATCATGCCAAGATAATTATTGGACAGTACTTTTTGTACGAAACACTTAATGACAGAAGTGCTTATTGTGGTGGGAATTTGCATTTAATCCCCTGGTGAAGCAGGAAGTATGTGGTCAGGAAGCAGAATTATACTGAACACAAGCAAGGTTACAGTGTTACTTTTTGGCCAAATAGGGACAGAGTTTTTAAAGCCAGGACACGCTCAACAATCTGACAAATATCCCTTCTGACGAGCTTGCTTTATTTTGGAACACGCAGCTGTCCTCTGTAATGTCGTCATTGATCTGTGATAAATCCTGCGACTGCTGCATGGTGAAAGAGGTGGACATTGATCTCTCTGTCCTAAGTGTACAAACACTACGTATTTGATCGTCCAGTTAATAGAACGCAAACATTCCCTCGGTATCACACTTAATCAAACATTCCTAGTGGAGCATGATGCTGATTCAGGTTTCTTTAACTGAACTCCCTGAGCATATTCAGGTAAAATCTCAAAATTTCCATTACATTTATAAAACAGTAAAATCTACAGCTTTCACTACTGTTGATACACGGAGCAGCCATTTTGGATTTCGAGGTTGGGGGTGGTGAGGTTCCTCTGACTTTTATATATATATAAGAAAATGTCTGAAAGAAATGAAAGAGGACTCATTGCCAGTAATGGTAGAATATGTGAGTAGCAGTATATCAAGCAATCTTGTTGTAATCATAGTCCATGATCAGCTGCCACCATCCTCACGATCCATGATCAGGCTCCACCATCATGATCTATATTCCTTGAACATTTACCAAGGAAGAGATACCTCAGATATTAGCTGGTGTCCATATCTAATGCAGCTTTGGAGGAGAAGCTCATTATTATGACTGCTGAGGCTGTCGGGCTTGATGAGATCAGACCCCGTCTCCACATCAGTCAATCTCACTTCCATCCCCGCAGCACGGACACTTTAGCTCGTAATGATGACTCCACATCGGTGCTCGCTGTGCAACTGTTTAGTTTTGCTCTCAGCAGCCTGTAGCAGTCGCTGTGAGCAGGTGAGACCCAGATTGGCTGCTCGGCGGTACTTCATCACCCTGCTTGTTGTTGTCACAGCTACAATTGGTTTGTACTTCCAGTCTGCTGCATCAGCAAAGTCGGGACTGATTTGGTCACTTTGGAGCCCAGTTAGCTTTGCTCAATGCACTTCCCCGTTGATTCCAGCCATCATTACAAATGGTATCTTTATTGGGTGGAGTTAACCCGGATAGAGCTCTCCCCTGGGGGCCTTTATTATCTATTCATCATGTTGTTCCAGTTTATCTCAAGATTAATCTGGTTGCTTCACCGCAGATCTAACTACAGATACCTGGCGTGTGACTTGGGGAAAGAGATTAGTAGATCAGGAGATAGAGTTGAAGAGAAGAAGGTGAAAAATATTATTAGTATAAGAATGATACGGATTTGTATTTGTGCTCTTTAAGAACAGATTTGCCTTCAAAGCGGTCTTGGATTTACATGGTATATGTACGTATAGAGCAGTTATTGTCTCACAGCAAGAAGGTTCCTTGTGGATCCATGTTCAGCTGGAGTCTTTCAGTAGAGTTTTCAGGTTCCTTCTGTGTCTGTGTGGGTCCAAAGTCAAGCAGACTGGCTATAAACACATGTCATTTCATTGGTGCCAGTTTGCACAACTAGCCAGGGGAGGCCTCAGTCCAATGTGGGCAATAATTGACCATTTGAAACATCTTCCAAGCAGACTTGTTGGGTGCTCTCTCAGTTTTCCCACCCTGGTAATTTGCATGGCTGCGTACATCCTTTGTCACCTGGTGGTTTGGGCAGAGTAGCACTGCAGCCAATTTTTTGACAGAAAAAAAAAAAGCCACTTCCACAGACTCCATTAGTTGGATGTTTACGTACGCCCACACGCACAAATGGAAAGTGTCCAGCGGTGTGAATATTCACATCTGCACCTGCTGAATAATAGACATTTATCATATCAGGCTGCTCGCCATCCACTCCTGTTCACAAGCTTTCTCCCCTTTCATGGAGTTAATTTATTCTGCAAAAATGCATATTTCTTGTCTCCCCAACCCGATCTTGTCTTGTATTCTGTCTAAAGGGGGAACATGTTCCTCAATAAGGACGCTGGCTTCGGGGAGTAATGTGTCTGCAGTATAGATTCTGAAGAGCCTCAGGTCTTGGCAGGTTCTCCCACTCTAAAACAGGACTGAGACACCTAAGGCACATTCTGTGGCAGCAAGGCCATATATCATCTGTCATTGCCAGGAAGCTCAACAGTAATGAACAAGTAATAATGGTATATATCTTGAAGTTGAGTCTCTAAAGGTAGCTCATCCAGAGACATTATTGTGCCACATAACCAGATGAGCTTTCTCAAATGAGATCATTCCCGTCACCCTGAGGACTGGAGGGTGTAACTGTTCTCAGAGTGAGTAACTCTTCCTCATTTGGCACTAATGGGACTCAGTATTAAGGTGTAGTGTGAATGTGAGAGGAATCCCATTTTCTTGTAATTTAAATCTCAAGCTGTTTCCACACATCTGTTCCTCTCGTAGAAATGAAAAAAAAAACATGCACGGGATAAAGAGGGAGCTTTTAATGAAGATTCATGCCTCACAAGAATATGATGGAGTGTTAGATGACAGCGTGTTATGGAGAGGAATGTCATGGTGACATCTCTCCGTCACAGAAATAAGCCCTATTCCTTCTGTCCATTCATCCACCTACCTATCCAGCTCCTATCCCAGCCCCCCCCCCCCACCCACCTGTCCATCCATCTCAGCTTTATATGCAGGTATTGCAAAGCTACAGTTAACCCATAATGAGGGATATGCATATGATGTTTTTCTGCTTATTTGACAGCATGCGTTCCCAGCCTCGTGTTGTCACTGCGGGGAGATGTTTGCAAATGGGGGGAAGCTCTGACGGTTACAGCTGAGGCGTCATTTTTCATGTAAATAGAGGAGAACAGGATATGGCAATCCCGCTGTTTGTGAAATTAGCCGTGACGCACAAACACACAAGATCAGATCCCCCCCCCCCAAAAAAACTGAAGGCTGTATAAAGACTTTGTGATTAAATGTTTTAGAGCAAACAAACACACACACACGAGAAATGTAGGAGTCAGCCAGAAACCGCTTTCTACACAAAATTACTGTGATATGAAGGTAACATTCAGAAAAAAAAAGTCCAGATGAGACATGCTGCACAAGCAGCTGCCTGAATGGGCAATGCACCCCAATAGCCCCATCTCCAGTGTCCAATTCAGCAAACACATGATTCAGCCTGTCATTCATAAGTGCTGATGTAGCCATGCTCAGAGCAGAGCCACCAAGTCCCCAGAGTTGGATATCACTGCTAACTGTCATCCAAGTACTTTGATTACTGGGCTGGGGGAAGAATGATGACTAAGGCCACTGCACGTCCTGGTCACTCTCTGGACGGCTGTCGAGGAAAGTGGATGGAGTCCAAGGGCCCATTAACACCTCTATCGTTTTTATAATGTGTTCACTGCTCATGAACGAGGACTTCTCCTGTTGCAGAGATAATTTAATAATGCGTTGTCATTTGAGTGGCACCTCTTTGAAAACTGTTATATATAAATGTCCTTATAATGTATTATTAAATGTTAATTGTATTTGTTCACCTCAATTTTACACCTATTGCTCACAGTAGCTGAGCAAACATAGTTGGTTATAGTCTCTAAAGTGTGAAAATCAAAGTAAATATCAGATTTAGTAGAACAAAAGCTTCAGTGAGGAGCAATAGAAATGTAAAATGCATTAWTGTATCAATGAGAGATGAGTTTTCTAGGAAGTAACTAACTGCTTCATGTCCTTTTGCATTGAGAAAGTATTGTTTCTAAAATAATATTTATCTTATAAATAAAATACATAACAAAATAAGATTCATTTGAGATTTCTCCAGCACATGTCTGTGCTTAAGGCTTCACTAATTCCTCTAAGAGCTGTTCCTTTTTTGAGAGATGATTTAGTGTTTTCATGTCTGCCGGCTTGGTGCCATATTTAAGTTGAGGGGGAACATGCACAGAGGCACAGGGGCCGACACGAGACAAAATGTGAGAAGAGATTATGGGCAGAGGCAGCTGGTATGTTAAATATCTGAATCATTTTAACTGCATAATACAATACAAAGGAGAGCAGGTGTAAGTAACACAAGGAACAGGGTTGTGTGCAGAGTGTGACGGTGTTTGTGAGTCCCAGAGTATTTCTGTGTGTGGGGCTATGAGATCATGGCGGTGACCTCAGCTGATTGAGCTCACACAGCATCCTATCCTCGGTCCTCCCCTCCCACGGTGGGTGGGGAGCACGGTGCTATCTGTGGACATGGAAAGTGACAGGACCAGCTGGGGAATGAAATCCTGTACGACAGGCAGTCGGTCTGGGAGAGTGACTACCGCTCAGTTACAGCCGTCTGCAACTCCACTCGGAGAAAACCAAGCCAGGATTCAGAGTAACTGCTGCCAAACATCAGGAGTTCCACAATAACCAAGCACCTCAGTACCACTGGAGCCATCATGTTCTGTGTGGCTTGTTCAAGAACCCTGGAGATCAATCAGCAGTCATTATCCAGCACCACCTCTCAATGCTCCAATTGCTGGTGATTCAGATAATCGCATGGTGACACTGTGTTAGAGGCGTTTGACTTGAAGTTACTGTGAGGACGATGGGTGGGAAGCAATCTCGCAGTTTTTCCAGCAAGGAGTTGAACGAGGTGAGTATGAGTCAAAGGAGCAAGAGTGCTTTGAGAGACGACCAGCCCAGCCTGTCCTCGGCTGCCGAGAGGATCCGCAGACACGCCACGGTGCACTTTGGTTACAGCACTCTGAGTCTAGCCATGCGGGGGCTCGACAAGACCCCAGCTGAGCTGTGGGAACTCAGAGAGCTCCAGAAGCTAAACCTGTCCATGAACTGCCTGTGCTCGCTGCCCCCTACCCTGGGTGCCCTGGACAATCTTGTCATCCTCAATCTTTGGGGCAACAACCTGTCGAGCCTCCCACCTGAGATTGGCCTCCTGAAGAAGCTGCGTGTGCTCTTTGCTTGTCGCAACCGCCTGAGCGAGGTCCCCGAGGAGCTGGGCTCCTGTACCTGCCTGGAGGTGCTCAGTCTGGCCAACAACCAGATCACGGGCCTCCCTGGCAGCTTGGCAGCCATGCACAGTTTGACCAAGCTCAACCTTAGCCACAACCGCATCGCTCACATCCCCACGTGTGTGTACACTATGAAGGGCCTGGTCTTCCTCCACCTGGCCTGCAACCGTCTAGAGACGATTGCGGACCAGATCCAGGACTTGGTGAACCTCAAGATCCTCATTGTAGAGGGGAACAGTATCCACACACTGCCGAAGACACTGTGTTTTCTACAGTCTTTAGAGCTCCTCAATGTTGACTTCAATGACTTGCAAAATGTACCAGTGGAAATGTATCTACTGAGCCGACTCGGGAGGCTGGCCTGCCACCCGCTGGACAAGGGACTTCACATAATCCACAACCCCCTCCTCAAGCCTATTCAGGAGGTGTTGCAAGGAGGACTCAGCGCCCTCTATAACTACCTCAAACCCACGTGAGGGACTCCTACTGCATGTGTGTTTGTGTGTCTATAAGAGTGTGTCGTAATGCCACGTTGGCTCAGATCTGACTCCTGGCAGGTGGAAGTTACCACAAACTGACCGACGGAGATATATTGTCTCAAGATGGGATATCTTCAGACTGATGAATAGAATTCTTTTTTATGTAATACACAGGTTTGGATATAAATAAAGAATTAGTAATGGCTGTGTCATGTCTAAACATTTGTTAATCCACAGTGAAGCAGTCAGGACGAGTCACGCAGATCGCACAAAGTCTAGGTCTACATTTGGGAGCTGATAACTAGTCGGTTGATCTTGTTTGGCTCGTTACAGTGGGGGAGCACGGGGGAAGATCAGCTCCACTGTCTTTTGTTGCATTAAGGTCACAGGGATCAAGTGGGTAAGGTCAGTGGAAAGAACAGTGGAGGGGGGCTTAAGATCTGCAAAAACATAAAACAAAACACAACAGGGACTCAGACTCTGATTAAATGTTGTTCTATAACAGATCAGAGCAGGACACTGCCCGGTGGTAGATCCCCTGAGATTGTCCAACGTTGTAATAAAAACAAGTGGAAAACAGTTTTGGAAAAAAAGACCTTTACGAGGCATGATATGATTAACACGAACCTGCAGAACAAATTAAATTGAAATAACTTGAAGCAAACTTCAAGATGAGAGAAGTTAGAGTTTGAATTATTTTGTTAAATATTTGTAGTTATTGCCAATTATCAAAAGATGGTACAAACACTGAAGTTTAACTGATGCAATGATTCATTCCCATTGTCCGGAGAAGTTAAAGACTGCAACTGTAGAGATAAAGCAAAATGTTAAAAGCTGCAAAACATTTTAAAAAGATTAAATACTGACTGTCTGAACCGACATCATTCAAATCATACATTAATCATGATGTCCATACTTAACAAATTAAAACATGTGCTAACTCAGTATTATTGTTAAATCACTTTCAAGTTACTTTTTACAAACTGATGAGGTCAAATCCCTGAAAACTGAAGCCTGGAGTAAATATATAATAATAATAATTAACTTTCTACAGCACTTATTTAAACACGTTTATAAAGTGTTTTACAAAATACACGGTCATAAAACTACAAAGAACAAAACAGAAGAAAAATAAAGATAGTTTAATAGAAAATATTAAAGACAAATAAATAAGTGTGGAATTTTGTCTCAAGTGGCACCTAACAGTGTAACCACCATAATCAATTAATGAAATTATTATTTCATGTGACTTTAAATGCATTTTCCAGATTGTCACATAACACACATTGATTTCAGATTGTTTTCTTATCAATATTGTAATATTGATTTTACACTCTGTTAATGATCATGATTCTTCAAAACAGATGTTAACTCCGAACATCATGTACATAAATGAACCCTCAATATTCTGTTATCATATTGTTCAAATGATATTGTGACTGTGCTGCTTTTTAATTGTTTGTTATAAAAAATAGGTTTCTAGGTGAACTCCCTGGAGAATTGTGATCATCCTTATTGGTACGACTTTCATTAAGATGCTTATAATTAAGTGACTTTATCTAAAACTACAACAGCGACGTGATGAGTAATTGTGTGTATGATTGTGAAACGCTTAATTTCTGTTATCACCAGCTCGTCCCTATGAATAAAACTGTGTCAACTCGATGCTGGAATATCAATGAGGTGAAAACGTGTTTTCAACTTTTAAAAAAGATTAGCTGCTGTGGAAAAGAGAGAAACGTGACCTCTGTTGGTCTGTACCTGCAACTACATGCAAGTCACACAAACACTCACTCCTGAATAAGTCTTTGTCCCAGATAATGATCATGCTGTCAAATAAAGCACCTATGAAGATGTTGCTGTGAGTCAGATGACCTGAATCCAGGTATTACTGCTCAGCGGGGATGTTACTATTCTAGTGACATTAAAATAAAACGTCTACTTGTATTACTTCTTTAAACAAACAGTATAGAAGCAGGACTTTCAATCAGGAACTAAAGCAACACATAGATTAACACTTAATTGTAATTGCACAAACAAAGCCATGATTGGGGTTTAATTATAAAACTCTCTCTTGTGTACAGTTGAGTGAAACACAGTTTAAGCACTGTGGCTATTAATTAAAGGGATCCTGTGCTGCGTGGCAATCAGCCTCACCGTGTTGTGCAGTGCTCACTCACTGGTGGTCAGCTGTACTCCGGGGATCACCCCCCCCCACACTGACTGCAGCAGGATTTGCTGATCTGATTTAATTGCCGTGTGCTCCGACAACTTTGTTTTTTAACTAGACGCCGTGCGAGACACGACGACCGGGTGAGCACAGATTGGCACCAGTGTTTCCTCATTTGAAGATGTTATTCATTTATAAGCCAAAGCTCAGAAAACAGTTTAGCATCACCGGCGGCGGCGAGTGACTTCCCATAATGAAGGGCAGCTAATCAATCTGGAATCGAGCTTGTGACGGCGGTTGCCCAATCATTTATTTAAGTTTATTTTCTAAGTTGGGTGCAAACAATTCAGCCAATATTCTGTCTTTCTCTTTAATTTGCGATAACACTTACCATTTGTTTGTAGCGAGCTCCCCTGGCAAAAGGCCTGAAGCCTGCAGGAAGTGGTCTCTTAAGCCTCGCCCACAGGAAGTGGAGGAGGCAAAAGGCAGATTTAAAGTGGGGGAGGGGTGTTAAATCTAAAATGGGTTGAAACTTCTTTGTTTGACTTTGTTATCGTTTGTTCAAACTTAATTCTATTCATTTGTGTATATACTTATTTTGATAGGTTCTTTTTGTTTGTATGTTGATAGTTGTGTAGTTAATGTTGTATGTTTGATTAGGTTTCCCCTGTGTGTCTGTTTGGACCAGTCCACCTGTGTATATATGTGTGTGTGTCATTTGTAAAGACAGGTCTGTTATGATGAAGCTGTCGTCACTGTAGCAGAAGTTTGGGTCCTGATTTAGTTTTTCTACTTTTGTAAATTTTATGGGTACTTGGTTATTTGTCATTTGGAAAAAAAAAATACTTTTTACCTTTTTGCTTGGTCCCTGACACACAGGATAATCACAATGAAAACATCACTGCTGTGTAAGTTGTGTGTTCTATTCCGTCACACAGGGTGAGGAGGTCGGGAATCATTGACAGTCAGCGTTAACGCTGGTCGTGTGGTCGTTCTTATGTTTGCCTGATATGAAACATCCTCAGACGGATGTGATGCAGAAGAGATTTACTGAAGTTTCTTCTTGCTCTCCACCATGAGAATGTCAACATCACATATTCAGCAGCAGCACAGGACGCAGTTCAGATGAAACTGTGAGTCACTGAAATGATTCTAACCTTTGAGGCCTAAATATGGAATCTTTTGACGCGGCTCTGGTGCTTCCCATCCAATCACTGTAATGTCAGAGCTCTTCTGTCGATGGCTTTCAGAGCGTGATGGAAAGTTAAGCTTGTGGAACATTACAGGTATAAAAAAAAAAAAAAAAAAAAAGACCAAGAATAAGTATTTTCAATAAAGTGAGTGCACTCTAATCAGCAACACAAAATACATATATATCATATTTAGAGGATTGATTGAGTGTGTGCAATCTGAGGCAGCTGGATTGAGTTAAGACAACTGATGGGCCTTGGTGGAGGAATTGTATTTGTCTTAATATGTAATATGTGATGATTTCACCACCTATAGCTGCATTGAATCATTTCATACAATATAAAAAGTATATTTATATATAAACGTCTGGAATGGACAGTTAAAAATAAGACATGGGTGGAACCAGCGGTGAAAGATATTATCATGATTTATTTCATCAACATGACTCGGTGCCCGACTGTGTTTATGCAGAACCACTGAAACACACCCCTCAATCACACACTAACAAGCAGGCTCACTCTCTATTTCCCCTCCGCATCCAGGAGCACACACAGCGATGTTATCCATTCTTCCCTCCGTCCAATCAGACGAGTTTCATTCTCACCAACTCCCATGACAGCTCTGCTCAGACTGGTATTCCTGACATTCCTGGCAACACAAGTGCTGAAGCCACGACAATGCCTGAAGACCACAGAGAGCCGCGGTGCAGCTACATGTACTGAAACAACAACATGGAGCCGTATATCCTTGACAACAGGAGGTCATTTAGAAACTAAATGTGGACCCCTGTCAATCTGGCTGCTTTTTAATTAGCCACGAAAACTGCTGGTACCAGTGAAATGGCCATGTGTGTTTATGCATGCAAAAACAATAAGGCAGTGACATTGGCTGACTTTGTCATTAGTTGCTTCTCCATCTCGGTGTTTGATATTGCTGCGAGGAGACCCCGCTGCTGTTTGCACTCGCCGTCTCAGATAAGACTAATTTACAACAAATATTTGTGTATATTAAAGTAAAGCTTCACCGTTCATTCACGGAAGCTGAAATAAAACGTGCGGGATGAAGCAGCCTTGTTTTGCCAGGTCACCTGATGAGGTCGTCTTGAATGTCAGCATGAATTTCTCTTTCATGGCCAAACGATCGTTAAGAATCCAGCTGGCAGAGATTTTAAATTTATATTAAAGTTATGTTCAGTTCATACATTGAGGTGTCAGGTTGAGCATGAAGAGGTTTGGCGACCAGTTCTTCAATCGTACAAAAACTACAGATCGGTCATCCAAGTGTTTGTTATTGCTGTTATCCTCCTCCTAGTTACTGCGACAGTACGAGTTCTAGGATCACAGCAAACTTTCAGGCAGAAAACTTGATGTAAATCTACCTTTATTGAGTTGAATTTGAATGTCGGGGCTTTCAGACACTTGGATGAAACCACCGGAGCAGGATGGAGGCATTATGGTCACCATTTAAATTCAATTGTATTGGATTTGGCTGCAACACTGTTTACCCCTGAAACTCCAGAAGGGTTTTGCGGACTCGAACACTTCACCCGCCCCTCCATCGGCATAGTGGTGAGTAGATAATGAGTGAATTTCCATTTTTGGGTGAACTATCCCTTTAAAGGGACTTAATGAGGAAGTTCGAAGACCAAAATATGTTGAAATATATAATTGATCATTAAAAATACATAAAAAATAACTTAACTAACAATGTCAATTAGTGATTTATTAATTGCCACCTTTAATTAATGATGTCTGAGTGGGTTCACAGAAGTGAAGATAATGATGGTGATGATGATGATTATTGTTATGATTATTATTTTTTACATGACCAGGTTTAATGGTTAACTGCCTGATTTGCTTGAACCTCGTGTCCACAGCTGGTGCTCATGAACCGGAGCCAGGGGCCGCAGGAGGAGGGGACACCTCTCTCTCACAGGCGGGGCTCAAACGTGCCCTCTACCGGCCGCAGAGCGAGCGCGCAGCCGCCGCTCTCCTGGAGCAGCCGGACCAGTCAATCCAGGCGCAATTCAGGAATCAGGACTCACTCACACATTCCTCCTCCTGCAAGTGTGGAGCAAAGCCGGCGCAGAAGGAGCAGCAGCCGTGATCGGCCACCGGGTCCTCTCACCTCCCCTCCTCCTCCGCAGAGGCACGGAGGACAGGGCGAACACTTGGAGACGGAGCAGCGAGAAAAGTGGCGTTAGATTCAAGTTGCGGTCCAGAGAAGAAGAGTTGCCCGTTAACCCCGCTGCTGCTGGGGGTTAACGCCACGACGCCGCGGTCGACATGGATAAAGTTATCAATTGCTTGTTTGCTGCGTTGACCCTGCTGCTGTGCGCCCGAGGGGAAGTTTTTAAAGGTAAGCAGGATTACCTGGACATGTTTTGTGCGCACACAACACGCGCTGTTTCTTCCCTGCCACCGCGAGTGGAGCGTGGAGACACTTCAACCCGAGTTGGTCCACTGTTTTGCCTGATTGTTTAATCGCAGTTTTGCAGCTTCCTAATGATTTCCATGGTGCAGATTCGAGTGAAATCAATGTGAATCTTAGGTTGTGATGGATGCATTTTGCAGACCAAGTTAAGAAGCATGGCATTTACGCACGTCTGATCCACAGTGAACGTCTCAGTTTGCAGGAGTCCATCGGTTTCTCGTTGTCTCACCTGTCCAGAGCTGCTTCAATCCGAGTTTCTCGTCTTCTTAAAAATGTTGACGGAGTAAATTCGGCTGAAGTTAACACCGGTCATAGGTTGTGATGGAGGCATTTTGCAGACCAAGTTAAAAACATGACATTTACGCACGTTGGATCCACAGTGAACGCCACAGTTTGCAGGAGTCCATCGGTTTCTCGTTGTCTCACCTCTTTTACAGCTGCTTTAATCACAGTTTCTCGTCTTCTAGCGAATTTCTATGGATGCACTCGAGTGAAATCAACGAGTCAGGTTGAGACGGATGCATTTTGCAGACAAAGTTAAAAACACGAACCGTGCGCACGCTTGAGCCACAGTGAACGTCACAGTTAGTTCATCATTTTGTGGTTGTTTATTCGAGTCAAAGCAACTTGGGATGTGCGTCACTGTGGATGCATTTCACAGTCCGAGTTAAATACATGCCATTTACGCACGTTTCATCCACAGTGAACGCCACAGTTTGCAGGCGTTCATCAGTTGCCCAGTGTGTCTCACCTCGCTGGAGCGGCTGTGCGCCACGAGCAGGTGCGCACCGGCTCCTCCAGCGCCACGATTCGAGCTAATGACCGCGAGTTGTAAGAGTTCAGAGTCTGTGTCTAACTTTATCTTGTTGCTGTTTAATGTGATTAACCTCAAGCAGCCTACTACTGTCGTTATATTCCATCGTGAACTCTGTGCGAACTTCATTTCTTCTCTTGTGGTCACTGTGTGGACACGAGCCACAGTCACATCACTGTGCAACACCCAGCTTAACATGCACGATGTGAATTATGTGTGTGTCTTCCCCTAGTTCATAAAACAGCTGGTTTTGCAGAACTGGTGCTGAAAATCAAATTTTAAATGATCGAATCACAGTTTCCATAGCATGCACTTTGATTTCAGCTGCATGCATCAGAATACTTCTATTTGTCATTTTGCACACACATACAACAGCCTTTCTCACGTTAATGATATTCAGCAAGTTAATTTGTATTAAGTCTACTTAAAACTTTGTGCAGAGAAAAAGTTCAGGGATTAGCGACAGATAATGATTTGACTTATTAGACTTACCCTCATAATAACACAGACTTTCACCTTCACTGTTAATGGCTGTGCCCAGAGGGACTTCACATTCTGAGTCTAATTTAGCGCCTGCAGGGGTCATTTCTGCCAACAATGGCATTTAATGTGGAGAAAAGGACATTAACCCACATTCATGCCAATCAATGTACTGAAGTTGATCCATACTGCCAATACAATTAGAGCTACACACAAAAAAAACCTTTTAAAAATGTGGGAAAAGTCTGATTCATATATGTGTGTTTGTGTGTTTTTTTATTTTTAATGTGTCGCTCTGGGGAAGCGGTGGAGTTGGAAGTTGCAGTTGTGATGTGGATTTCAGCTCCACAGTCTGAAGCTGTGGGATTCAACAGACAGCTGATGTATTTTTCAGAGAGCCTGTTGGGGGCAGCATGGCACACACATAATGTGATACCCAGATGATGAAGCTGAGCTGCTCCGGAGTGGAGGACCCAGAGTCAGACTCATAGATCAGGATTCAGATGCGCTTTGGAAACTATCCGAGTCCCTGCTGAGACAAAAAACTCCACTTTTTTAAGCAACAGATAACTCATCTGCTAAAAAGATGACATTTCTATTTTGTTTACGTGGCCCTGCTGTCTGCACGCTGGTGCTGGATGTTTAAGGGCTAATTCTTAAAGCTGTATTTAAACATGTTGTGATGGATAAATAGTGTTAAAGTGGTATAGCCTTCATGCCACAGGTTCTTTCTTTGTGCCTGAGAACTCTCTTACCCTGAAGCTCAAAGTATTCCCAGTCCATTCTTGTGTGAGGTTTATCAATCTCACCCGCTGGCAGCCCCAGGACCTGGAGATTTATTTGCTCTGCAGGGCTCCCAGTGGTGCCGGAGCTGTCGATAAATGTGCTTCTAATTGCACGAGTGTGTGTGTAAATATGTAAACCAGGAAGAAATCAATTGGATGCGTTTTACTCTGTGAGGCTGAGGTGACGGATTATGGCCACACACACACACACACACGCACACACACACACACACACGGACAGGGAGGCTGAACTGAGACATTTTGTTGTGGAGAGTGGCGTATAGTATGTGCTAACAGCTCATGAGATAATTAGATCACTGAGGTAACCACAGTGTCGGTGTACTCCAGTGCACAGTATCGGCAGCAATTTGATCACAGGGAGCGGTCCTCTGGAAGTCTTTTCATTTCCACATATAAAAACTCAACTGACTCTATAATCAGGATCATGCTGTCTCAGTTTCATCCTGTCCACTTCAGATTAGAGATGTTCTCATACCATATTTTTTTCCCCGATACTGATGCAGATTCCTGGACTTTGCGTATCATCTGATGCTGGTCCCATAGTGGTGCATTTAAAAATATACCAGCTCATTTAACAGCTGTATGCGTCTAAGCCTTTATGGAAGTGGTGATAACTTTGTTTTATAGCCTGGCTCAAGTAGAACCAGGTTAAAGGAATACATACAAGG